TGGACTTTAATGCATTTTTTCTTCTCTATTATTAATTAATTTTTAATAGATCTGTTATAATATTAGCTCACCATTTCTTAATTTCATAAATACTAAATTCTTGCTGTGCTATTTTTAACTTTGGGCAGTGTCAGATTCAAGTCACATCAAGCTGTCTTGACTGTGAAATGTTTCCCCTGTGAATTATTAGTTAGTTTCATAGACTGAAAAACTTCTGTCTCAAGTGACTCTTTTCTATTGAATGACCTACAGTCATTAGACTCTGTTCTTATTGGGCACATTTATACCTGTGTCTCCCCAGACCATCTGTTGCTAGGCCTTGGATGAAAGAAGATATAGCTGTTCTCCATTGTTAAACTTAAGAAAAAAAAGTGCAAGCCAATAAAAAAAGTGAAGGTGTGTGATAAGTCACCCATTCATTTCCTATATCTCTTGGAGGTGAGATCCTCCTTGTTATAGTTAATGACTTAGTTCCTATCTACCTTAGTGTTTTGGATGTTCCTGCGCACAGTGCTGCTGTACAAAATAAATATCTATCCAATGCAGACTTGTTAATTAATTGTCTACTAACAATTTATATACCAGTTTAAAATTAACTGACCATTTAATAGTCGTTTACACTCTGTATCCAGCTATACTTACATGCGACCACAGTTAGAGATCTGTTCTTTGCCTTGTTCTCCTCCTTCAGTGCTATATTTGTTCCAGTCAGGTCAGCTTGATATGCACACAGGGCCTCCCACTCTTTCTCAAGGCGATTCTTATTCTTCAAGTGATCTTCCATGTAAGACTAGAGCAAAGACAGGAGCGTTGTTATGTAATGCACTCTGTAAAAGTATATATAATGTTATGCTTGGTCGGTATATTACAATTTCTTGTGGTGATGCTACAGTACTCATTCCTGTCCGCAGCTCCCCTGAGCATGCCAACTTGTGGGACAGCCTCAGAGGGCAGCCTGACTTAAAACTTGAGATCGTTAGCACACTAGGTTCATATAAGAATCAAATCATATCAATAAGTCAATCAATAAATTAGTCTTTTAATGCGGACCTTTCATCAGATACCTGTACATTATTTCATGTCAATTGCATGCATGGATATTACTCCTCCTGGCAATATCTTGCTTTTCTCTACAAGATGGCACAATCTTCGTTCAGGCATTACCAAAGATGACACAATCATGTAAATCATGGTGCCTACACAGTTCTAGGCTGTGTTCAGAAATAAGGGGCATAGATCAGCCCCAGCTACAGCCTCTTATCGTGCGATTTCCTACAACGTTACAATTTTGCAGTCTGATCACGGAGGAAGAGGAGACTGAGGAAATGCTTCCATGTACAGGGGAAACTCGAATAATTAGAATATCGTGCAAAAGTAATTGCAGTAAGTGCTGCAAAAGGGGCCCAAACCAAGTACTGAGTACATATGCATGCTTGTACTTTTCAGAGGTTTCGATATTGTTCTATGTACAATCTTTGTTTTATTGATTGCATGTAATAATCTACTTTTTTGAGGTTGTGGATTTGGGGTTCTTGGGGTTTTCATGAGCTGTAAGCCATAATCATCACAATTATGACAAATCACGGCTTGAATTATCTTGCTTTGCATGTAATGAGTCTATCTCATATATTAGTTTCACCTTTTAAGTTGCATTAGTGAAATAAATGAACTTTGCACGATATTCTAATTATTCGAGTTTCACCTGTAAGAAAACAAAACTACTGTAGATATGTTGCAATGCTTTTGCAGGAAAGCAGGGGTTGGGGTTTTTAATATTTTAGAGCATTTGGTCTACAAATGTTCTAGGAACCTGTCATATACATTGGTAAACTGGTAATTGTACACAGGATTGTACACATGTGTTACTAACAGTCATCAACAGGATACTTGGTGGGCTGTGCGCTGCCCCTGGCAGTGCTGCCACCCTAGGCCAATGCTTATGTGGACTATGCAGCAATCAAGCCTTGTGTTCCACAGCTCAAATGATTTCATAGAATAAATATTGGATGAGAAGTAATGTTAGCCTGCACTGTAAGCAGCAGGAATGTTAGCTCAATAGGGTCTAATTTACTAAAGTTGAACTCATGCTGCCAGAGAACATGAGCAGACACAATCATACTGGCTTGATGATTAATTTCTGTACAATTTATTACATTCACATATATATATATACACACACATGCATACATACATACATACATACATACAGTATATATATATATATATATATATACACAGTATATACTCATCCCCCTAACTAACCGCTCAGTGTCTGCAACCCCCCTTTGTCAATCTCTCCACTGGCTTCCAGTCATCCAAAGAATAAAATTCAAAATAATAACAACCACTTACAAAGACATCCACAACTCTGCCCCCAGCTATATCTCCAGTCTTGTCTCAACATATCACTCTAACTGTCCAGCTATCTCCTACCCTGTCTGCCTTTAGGCTATCCCTGAAGACTAATCTCTTCAGGGTAGCCTATCCCTCCTCAACCTAACTGCTAAAATATTACTCTCTCTCTCAAACAACTCATTCCCACACAGCTACCTTTTGTATCACTTGCCCCTCCCTTTTAGATTGTAAGCTCTCACAGGCAGGGCCCTCCTAACCATCTTGTCTTGAAATGCATTGAAATGATAATGTCCTCCCTCTATTGTAAAGTGCTGCTTAAACTGTTAGCACTATAGAAATCCTGTATAATAATAATAATAATAATATATATAGTATATATACAGGATGACTGCACAGTGAACTGTGTTCCCTGAGATATAGACAACAAACAAACAAACAAACAAACAAACAAACAGTATAGGTACATTAAGTTAAACCTAAGTATAATAATTTTTCTGTATCCATCATTAGAACAAAAACAGCCATACAGTCATAAATATTTTATTTAAAAAACGCTATAATTTAATGGGTATATGTTAACATGCCATAGTACAAACAACAAAACACTTTCTAAAAACTATGCATGTGTGCAAACATCTCCTCTAATATCACTGAAGGGGGGGGTCTAGTAAACTGCACATTTGTGTTAATTTGTGCACCTATTCATCGCCATTCTAACTTTAAAAGAGCATAGTTTTCTACCTTTAAGAAATGCCTGCCAATGTTGGCTGTAAATTGTACACATTCAGCTTTGTTGTCGCACTTTGAAAAGTGTTAATTTTAGTGTTACTTAGCTATCTGCGAGATAATCCAGATATACATTTTGATGGGTGTGCTATTATGAATGGTAAGTAGTACCCCATTAATTTTTTTTATTGTTTTACATTATAATTTAAGAAAGTATTCCAATAAAAAATATTAAATGTTCTCCATTTGCATTTGTTTCATTACCTGTCCCAGTCTCAGTGATATGCTGTCAAAATGTGAGAGAGTGTTAGCAGAACAGGAAGTGCTGGCAGATCTGACAGTGAACTAATCCTTCCCTACTTTCTTCCAAACTACAAAAAAATAAATAAAGTTCAAACATGAATAGAAGTATTATTTCTTCTATATGTAGCATATTTATTTGAATATGCGATGCCCTTATTTATGTGTTTTAGTAACATATTTTAAAAATAATTTTTGTTTGATTGTTTAAATTCAATATTTAGCTATTTTACCACAATGTAATGTAAACCTAAAAAATTACATTAATTAAAAATATTCAACATGATTTATTGATACAGTTTAGAAATATTTGTATTTGATTTAAAAAAAAATAGCTTTTGACATTTTTATAAATCTCTGCTCGTCTGCCCAAGTGGAAAAGAAAATGTAAGTTTGAAAAAAATGTTCCTATGATAATAGGAAAATGTGACTGGCTACTGCATTCTCCTGCATGTAGTCTTACATAGGGGGCACGTTTGGATATAGTGGAAGTGTTAAAGCCCCTGCCAGGAATTTATTGCTGCCTGTGTTGCTACTGGGAGGAGTCACCTTTTCTATTTGTCTTTGTGACCACTGTACTCAGGTACAGAAAGTTATGCGAAATCCAAATTTTAAAAGCCCATTTGTCGCTTCATTTTTTTTATAACTGTACTGCAGTCAGGCATAAACAGTAAGAGATGTGACGACTTTTTTATTTATGCACTATTGTGCTGGCAGTATGCTAGCAATCCATGCTACTGTTTAACATAGAGCATAGCAGTCTGGATCTCTACTGGTCAGACACATCCTGTACACAGTGCGCCAATCAACAGTGTTAAGGAGCGCTGTTTATTGGAGCACTGTCCAGGGGGCGTGTCAGATTACTGCAGACCCGCGCTGCTGTGCTCTGTGTTGGGAAGTGGCCTGGATCTGCAGCATGCTTCCTGCACAGGGCATTTTTACCCTAGCTGCAGCACAATAGTACATTACAAATAAAAAGGACACACAAACATATTACTATTTCTGCAGCCTCACTGAATTACTGTAATAAAAAAGGAGGCTTCCAAACTATTACAGTAACAGGAGGTGAGGGGAAATCTTCCAATGGGAAACCTGTTGTACCGACAACAGTGGGGATATTGCCTTGCTTTGCGGAAATTTACTCTTATTCCCTGTTGTGTCTATGGGACAGGTAGTGAATGGAATTCTCCTAGAGGGGGCACAGACAATGAATGACATGCTGGAATAAAGTAGAATAATCCTGAAGTAACCAACAGCTGTCCCCATTTTATCATCACACAGGTTTGATGCATTGCAAGTCCATACTGCAAAACACTAGTGTGAATGGGCCCTTGTGCAAGCAGATGTCTAGGTGGATGCTATGGGCTACTGCGCACACAGCTGTTTGTGTTATATGTATATATTGTTCATACACAACAATACAATTTTAACCCAAAATGTAATCCAGAAAACATGCCACTCATTATTATAACACATTTTATTTCTCCTGATGATAAAAATATTCTGGTTCCTAATTGCTGAACATGAAAGTAATATTAATCTGTTATCATTCACAAACTGCTCCAAAAATACCTAGGGGGTCTGGTATATTGTAATAATGGTTGAGTGCCAGTTGGCATCTTTTGTGCCTCTTCACTGAACCTGCTGTTGGATAATTTGTGTCCCCAGCATGAAACAGCTCTGGTGGAGGTTGAGTACTGTGCCCTTTCTATTAAGGAAAGGAAAAAAAATTCTCATTGGAATATTTGATTGGTAAATAAATTCATAGTACCCTCAAATGCCACTTAGAGCACTGATTTTAATTATGTTTCAATTAAGTTCTCAGACATGGAAAATACTGATGTCTGTTACAGGAGTTGGCAGCGTCTGACAGATCCCGGTCACAGGGAGCAGAAGAAACATATTCTTCAGAGTGGTACCTATAAAAAAAGGGACTACTGCTGCTGACCTCTGTGCAGGTTTTTAAGAGGGTATAGTCTAGAATTCTCAGTTTCATCTTATTCCCAGATTAGCAGAGACTGTGGGCTCGTTCAAAATGCCAGTGTTGCACTGTGTGGGGCAACATTGCCCCACATAGTCCCATGTAGCCCCAAAACAAGGACAAGTCAGTTTGCCTTATGTCCCATGCCTTTAGTTGTGCTGAAAAAAGTAGGGTGTGTGTCTGAATCACTGTAGCACATTGCAACATGCTGAAGTGCATAACATTTCAATACAAAATTGAGAAAAAAAAATCAAGCTAACAACACATTGCAGCACATGGCACCACACCCCAGCACGTGCAATATGTGCACAATAACATGTGCTGTGTGGTGTAAATGAGCACCAAAGAGTTAACGCAGATTTCTATAGTTCTTGTGGGTGACTGCAAATAAACCAGATTGTAATTAACTCCATGTTTCAACACAGATG